GCCAACACCAAAGTACTTACAAAGTACCACGAGGGTACCTACAAAGGCACCTCCAAAACTCTCATGAGCACCAACGTACCTACCACGAGGCCAAAGTTCTTCGCCCATAATTTCCAATCTGTTATTTATCGGTCTAGTGAGCAATTTCGTTATTTGATAGTGAAGCAGTTTTTTTTTTCTTGTTTTATTTAAATGTAAAATTGCTGCTGCTCGCCTGTTTGGTGCCACCGTTATAGGCTTATTAATTAGCAAGGTAAAAAGATAAATGTGAATAAAATTAGGATGATAATTAAAGGAAATATATAGGATTATTATTGTGGATTTGTCATTTGTTGAGATGAATGGATGATAATATCATAATGTTATCTCACATTTGATTATTATTTATTATTTAATTATCATTTAAATAGTTTTTTTTTCTTTTTATTTTGCTCTTTTCAGGTTAATCAATTATCCAATGCTAATAATACGAAATATTCAAGCATCATCCGTTGGTTCCAGATTGCTACCATTAGGTTCACGGTTAGGAAATGATGAAATGCTACGATGCGTGGTGCCGCAATTATGGATGAGAAATGATCATTTAGCCAAAAATTCTTTAAGCACAACTAGTGATAATCAACCGAAAGGATGGATGGAACGATATGAAGCATTTTTATCACGACGATATCCTAAGGCTTATGCTGTTCACAAAATGGTCATGAATGGTATGGATCTTCTTTTTTTTTTTCGCTTTTTTCATGTATGCTATTTTTTTGTTAACTTTGCAAGGATAGGATAAATGTTTAGGACTGATAAAATTACTGTTAATTTGCCGAGAAAGAGCAAAATAGATTAGATTATGGTATCCTGTTGTTAACATAGCCATATTCAGTTTACATCACCATAAAATTTAAACGACCGTAATGTTACTTCTCATATGATAACACATGTTTAAATAATTAGATGAGATTTTTTATAGATAATTACAATAATATTTTTGCAGTTTTTATTGCTGATAAATTCAATTTTCGCTTTAAATTTCATGATTAGTAGTTAAATGTTAGGAATTTTTATTTATCAGTCATGAAGTCCTTTTATTGCTGTTCTGTAGACTTTTTTCCTTTTAGGATGCAAATGGTGCTGGTCGGATATAAAAACATATTATCGATTAAAAAAAGATTTAAGAACTAAGACACGACAGATATCGGAGCTTAAACGACCTGAACTGGAAATTCTTCTTCAGGTTCATCATTTTTCCTTATCTCGCAGTGTAATCATGAAAAGAAAAACACGGTTTGTGCATTTTGAAACGAAATTAATTAATTGATTTAACTGTGAAAAATCTGAAATGATCTTTGCTAGATGTCGTTTGCGTAGATTGCCACTACACTGGTAGCATATTATGATATCTTAAGCCGAATGAAGTAAAAAATATCCCATTTCTTAACGTCAAACACTCACTAACGCACATTAATAATAGGATTAGAAGGTGGATCGATAGTGAAATATATATTTAAATAAAATTTATTTAATTAAATTTCAAAAAAATTCAGTGCCCTTCGGAAATAACGCATATAATCACACTATTAGTGCTACTTCAAATACCGGTGGTGGGCGAGAGCCTCTGCGTGATGTTGTGAGTTTGCTGCCTTTTTTTTTCAATTTTTTGAAATCATTTTAAATTCTTTCTCGATTCAAAGGACACTAATGCCTTTGTGTCTTCTTTATCTTTCCGCCTTATGCTGGTGTGTGTGTGTGTTTTATTATTAATTATGTTCTAATTTGGGTTTTGTATGGAAATAACGGAATTTTGTCATATATATGTATTAATATATATATATGCTTAATAGGCTTTTTGTACTACAAACATGTAGAATGCATCCAAGTCAAGTAAGTCTTCTGATTATCATGGACCTGAAAGATTGTAAAAATTGTTTATTCATTGGTGCGCATAGTTTCAGGTAGAATTAAGCTTTATGTTATAAGCGTAAAGTTCGATGACGGTAATTTGATACTGTTTTACTGCTATTCGTATAAAAATTCTTTTATAATCCACCAATATATCTCTCAAATATACTATTTTTTGTATTCATCCTTTATCGACTTACTTTTCTACTAATATATATTACCAACATCTTGCACCAAACGCCATACCTTAACTTTATATAATTTCTAATCATTTCCAGATTGCTTTTTATAAATCTTAGGATCAGATGAATATTAATGCTTTAAAAAATTGTGCAATCTCACCTCTTTCAGAAGTTTGTAAATCTTCTCAATTTTTGTTTTAGACTAAAGAAGAATTGCTGAAATTGGGAATTATTGTCATCCTTATACCACTGCCATTCACCGTTTTCATTTTCGCGTTAGCAGTGTAAGCTTTCATTTCAATTTAGCTTTTGATGTATTCATTTTCTCATTCCTATACTGGTTCTCACAATTTTTTTTTTGTATTTTTCTATATTTGTCCATACTTAGACAAGCGGTTACTTGTAGATATGTCATTTATGCTTTTTCAAATTTTTGGCTAATTTGTAAAGCATAAGAATTCATTTCATTGCTGGTTATTGAACGCTAATAAATTATCACTGTGTAATTATGGGATGTTTCAAACGCATGTCATCATTGAATTTTCCCTTTTTTTGTCATGTGATAATACTACTTACACTTTTTATTTTTTTTCGCAACTTGCAGATTAATTTAATGAATGCATGAACTGTAAGAGTTGCATCGACTTAAATTTTTGATTCATTTGATAAATTTTATTTTAATCTTCTTTTGGTTTTTTTGTTTGGTTATCTTGCTTATGTAACTGTTTTTTTGAAGGGTACTTTTTCCACGATTTGTTTTAACTCGGCATTTTTGGACGAGTGATCAACGAAAAAAATTTTGGTCAACAAATCTAAGACGTATAGCACGGATGCACTTTAATCCGTTGCGGAAATATCTTCAAAATTTGGTGTGTTAGTTGTTAGTTTTCTTTCTGTAATTATTTTCAGGATATGAAAAACAGAAGTAAATTTGTCTATTATGTAACTTATAAGAATTACAGTTTTCCTCAGTATTTCAGAAGTTTTTATATTACAATATTTTGCTGTACTGAAATTATTCTTCACTTTTTTTATTTGCTTCTCTATTAACCGTCTTGTCTGCTCTATTAATAGAAAAAAAAGACTTTTGTAGGATGTTAATGTGCAAGTATCGCTAAAAGAACTCAAGAAATTGGAGCTGCCAGAAATTAATACTTATTCGCTTGGACACCTGGTAATAAGTTTATAGTTGAAAATGAGAAATGCAAGGGTCACTTTTTTCGAAAGTTGCTTACCTAAGCTTGCTTAAATTCAATTGATTGTATAGTTTTTAGTACCACTTATCAAAGCTTCATGGAGTAAGTTTGTTAACTGCTGGTGTGCGCGGACTTCATGATCGAGCAGAATTATTGCGATATTTGGATCATTCGTTAAAAAATGAAGATACGGCGATCGATATGATGAGTGAGCAACAATTATATGAAGTGAGAAAAGTTTTTAATTTCTTAGATTTTCTTAGAAAATGCTGATTTCGAGGTTTTTTCTTTATATTTTTTATATGTTATTCAGATATCAGTTATCGCTTCCAATGCATTATTACATTTTAGCAGTTTTATCTACGACGATTGCAATATGATGGCTTATCAGAGGAAAAGATGAAGTGTTTGCTGAAAAATTGGGTTCGGCACTTGACTGGTAAGTTGACCACTATAAATCTTGTCGCTTAGCTATGATTTCAAAAATTTGAAAATGTACCTCAAAAAAGAGTACCTCATTTAATAACTCTTGTATGATTATAGATCCACACTTAAAAACTCCTCTTTTCCTGCATCTACCTATCTTTGAAACTGCCTTGAAAAGTGCTGCTGAAGGCTGAAGGACTATTCAGAAATAGTGATAGTAAAGGAATCTGTTCGTATGCATGTATTTGTTCCGCAACATGAAGCTCTCATATTTGAGCAATAATTTGATTTGAATTTGAATCCAGAAAACAATAAATTCAGTTAATGTCATTCAGGGTTAAAATTAAGCTTTTCTCAGCAGCATGCTGTTGAAGAATGGTATAGTCTGGGGTAAAATTTTTCTTAAATTTCCAGTATACTTTGACATTTTCCCACAGTTATCGAAAAAGAAATTTTTTTTTACGTCCACCAATAACAGACCACAAGAAATATCACAGAAATTGTAGAATTGGTGATATAAAATGCAACAAAGATGTAGTTTGCTTTACTTCTTATTTTCCGGTTCATATAATTCTTTATTGATTCTTCTCATGGCACATATTTTATTGCTCAATTTCTTTGCAAACTACAGATTTTGTTGGTTTTTAGGATTAACTTCTTATTGTTTACATCAAGTTGCTTTGGAAAATGTTGCTTGGAAATTGAAGCTAAAAAATAGTCTTTTGTTAGTTCGTATTGGTTATTATTGTTATATTGAAAAAGAGCTATATTTCATTTGTTCCACATTTATAATTCTGTATTTCATCGATGAAGGAATATGTTAAGCGTAAAGTTTTTAGAAAATATGATTACATATGTGCAATTGTGTATTCTCATAGAAATAGTGAAAGAGTAAGGCAAATCAAGCAAATCTCTGATTGCAATCTTCAGCATATCGTGACGATACGAAGTAGTTATGGCCTTCAGTTCTGTTAAGGACTACTCATTCTTTTCTATCACTTGTTATTGTAGTACCAAGAAGACCAGCAAAAATCATTCATAGGGCTCAGTATTTGAAGTACATATTATCAGTAATCGAATGTGGAGTACACCGACCGGTTACGGGTAATATGCAGATGTTTCCCATTAGTGAGTGTATATTTGATAACAGTTCCTGACATATTTAATAAATACGGCTCGTTAATACCTCTAGAAGTATCTTTTTACTCATATTCTTTAGAGATCCATATCTTTGAAATTGATTCCGTAAGATGAATTGACGACCTTCCCCATGTTTAGGATCAATTCCATTGATTCCACAAAATCACTTATCATTTTGATTCAACACTCTATGTTAACTCTTCAATTATCTCAAAAGTTATTCACCAGTTTCATTCTACAATATAGCGTTTTTACTTCATAAATTATACAAGTTATATTGAAAAAAACCCCAACACAATCTATTACACTTTCAAATAAGCAGAAAACAGTAATTTCAGACTAACGGATGTTTCAGACTTAATTCTGCGATGCAATATATTAGTTCTCTGGTTTTCGAATACAAAAAAAAGTCACCACTACAGTTAAATTCCGAAGAGATTAAAAAAAATTTATTCCGCGAACAGATTTTTATACATTTATTGGAACTGCAAACAATAATCTCATTAAAATTAACAAACAAAATCCAACATATGAAGTGCAAACACGTTTCTATTTCCCTTTAGCCGGTTTTTTTGGCTTTTCTTGCCTTGCTCAATTTGGCCATTTGCAAACGTACTAATCTGTTTCGCAGTTGCTTGGCACGCATCAGCTTAAACCGGTCAAAATCGGTCATCTTAGCTTTCTAAAAAGCACAAATTAGTGTTTAAAACGTCAAAAGT